CTATGATTCTATGATTCACAGCAACCTGGCAACAATTTCCACACCATTTTAACATTTATTTTGCTCATTAAATAGTTGCATCCTACCCTATATCTGAAGGTCTCAAGGCAACCGACAATAAAATCACATTAAAATGATAAATAATAACAATAATTTTAAAATACTAAAAACTTTGCCCAAGGTCACCCAATGAGTTTCCATAACCAAGGGGGAATTTGAACCCTGGTCTCCCAGAGTCCTAGTCCAATGCTCAAACCATTATACCATGCTGGCTCAAATATACAGTTTATGTATTTAGGCATTTATTTAAAGCATTTCCATCCTCCTCTAGTAAGGAAAAACTCAGACATTGGTTTATATACAGCCAACCAAAATATGACAACATTTGCCTGCAGCCTTACCATCTAAAAAGATATGATATGAAAAGAAAAGAAAAGAAAATGGGAAAGAAAGGAGGGGGGAGCAAATTCAGCCACCAATTCTTAAAAGTTAAATATCAGTTCTGATTTTTCAGCAGAACAGATTGTATGACCCTGCTTGCCAACTTTTTGTTGAAGCTTTGCACCTGAGCTGGTCATAGTATTGTGTGGATTATCTGTATATTTCCTTCTTCCTATAATCTTATCTGTCTTTAAAGGGGAAGTTAAAGGACATAAGCCTTAGTGGCTCAGCGTAATAGTTTGAGTGTTGGTCTAGGATTCAGATGTTTGTTGTTATGTGCCTTCAAGACAATTCTGACTTAGGGCAACCCTAAGGTGAACCTATAATGAGGTTGTACTGGGAGGTTGCCTTTGCCTTTCTCTCAGGGAGTTTGACTTGCCCAAGGTCACCCCCGTCTGGCCACACTGAATATGGCCCAGTGTTACCAGATGTACACTTCCAATTTACAATGGCAGACCAGTGGAGGTCCTGGTTTCAGCAGGGCAAATCTACTCGAAGGTTTGGTGAGAAGATGGGAGAGAGCCTTTTTGGTGGCTGCTTCCATGTGGCTGAATCGCTGCCAGAGAGGTTCGGCTGGTGTCCTTTCTCATCTTCTTTTGCCATCAGTTAAAGACCTTTTTATTCAGGCAGGTCTTTGGCTTATACTTGAAGTGTCAGAAAGAACTTTTAATGGGGTATTATTTTTATCTCTTTTTACTGTGTTTTCATTTCATATTATATTGCTTTGACCTTGGGTTGTTGTTGTGTTTTTTTTAAAAAAAAATCTGGACATTTCTTTTTTAATTTTTGTAATATTTTTTTCAAAACTGTTGTTGTGTGCCCCCAAATCATTTTTGCTTTATGGTGACCCTAAGGTGAACCTGTCATAGGGTGTGTGTGTATGTGTGTGTGTGTGGTAAGTTTCTTCAGAGAGGTTTGACATGGCCATCCTCTGAGGCTGAGAAAAATGACTTGCCCAAAGTCACTCAGTGGGTTTTTCTGCTTAAGCGGAGAATTGAACACTAATCTTCAGGATCATAGTCTAACACAAAGTGTGGAGATTATTGCATCATGATTAAAATGGCTTCCCTGAGCCAGCTTAAAATTAGAAGCGGGTGGCATCCTGATATTATCAGATGCATTTAGCTGCCGAAATCATCGCCTGGGTGTAGCCTGGCCCCATTGATGCTCAGAGGAGTGCTCCAGCAGCCATTTTTTCAAGCTGGAAAATTCCCAGTTTCGAAAAGAGGCATGAGGAGCACCCCTTTGAGAGGTGATGGAGCTGGGCTGCACCCGAGCTGCGATTTCCGCAGCTAAATGCGTCTGATAATATCAGGATGCCACCCACTTTTAATTTTAATCCGGTTCAGGTAAGCTAGTTCATGATGCAATAATTTCCTGTGTTTAAGCCACCTTGGATCCTATTTAAGAAGAAAGGTGGGTTATAAATAAAACAGAGTAATAAATATATTCTGCATTTTAAAGGAGCTGGCCAAGTTCATGAACTTATCTGGGAGTTAGGCTTCAGCACCCAGGATAGCTCCTTTAATGTTCAGTTTAAAACGTAAAATAGTTTCATCACCTCAAAAACATGGAAGCCACCAATGTGACAGATACCTTTATGCCACCACACACTCCAGTTTGGGCACTATTGCTTTTATATTGGAAAATCAAGCCTTGTTTAGCTTGCAACTGCCCCAACATACAAAATATTTACTGGCTTTGCAGCTTTATAGCATTTCACCCCCATGGCAAGCTCCCTTTAGTTTGTCCACCATGGGAACACATTTTACACGATATGAAACCTTCCCTCACCTCCTCCAAAAACAACCTCCGCTGCCTTTTGCTGCTTTGAACTTCATCCCTGAATATTCGTTGCATCTTCAATGATAAAGGCTCAAAAGATTTTGGAGGAGAAGGCCACATTACATTAAATTTGTCTGGTTCTCTTTCATCATGCCAGGGGAAATCATAGACAGATCATTACATGTAATCATACAGCAATGAGAAAGATAAAGGGGAGGACATCTGTCTCATAGAGGATTTATATTTAGTTATTAACAGTGTGCATATGTGTTTTCTCACTACAGTTTGGCCTGCCAGGCCATCAGATTATCTCAGCATTTAAAGCAGAATGTGATATGGTTAAAAACTCAATCTGATCTGTTGGAAAGCACAAAAAAATTGATGTATTAGAAATTATAGCTCTTGAACCCTGAATGATCCCTGCCTATGCTTGGCTGATTCAGAAAGAAATGCATTGTTTACTTCTATGATTCTGGCTTCTTTTGGCATGCAAACATTTTCCATGAGCTCAGCTCAGCTCAGCTCATTCTTTCTTTCTTTTTTTACAAACTGGATATCATACATCTGCCTTGGGTGCATGATATATATATATGGAGGTTTATAAACAAGTAGGAGCAGCAGTAACTGGTGTGTATGGCTTTTAAACATATTAGACTTATGAGACATAGCCATATCAGTATGCAAAGAGATCATGCAGCACCTTTGAGACTAATTGTGTGAAAGAAGTTGTGGCATGAGCCTTCACAGACTTGGTCTACATCAAAGTAGACCAAGGTTACAAAAGCTTATGCTACAACTTGATTCACACAATTAGTCTCAAAGGTGTTGCAAGATCCTTTTGTATACTGATATTAGATCTGTATTAGACTAACATATTAGACATGTATGTAGATAAAAACAAACAAACAACAAACACATAAATTGCCTTTTTTAAAAAAAACTCTTGTGGTCCCTTAAAGACTAGCAAGTTTCATTTGACATAAGGTTTTGTGGACACATACTCAAGAGTTTATGCCAGATAAAATTTGTTAATCTTTAAGGTGCCAGATTTCTATTTATTATGTTTGTTGCTACAGACTAACACTGCTACCCCCATAAAATCCTCTTGTCAGTCCCAACTGGAGTAGACTCATGGAATCAGTGGGACTTAAACATGTGTTGATTTACCAAGTGGGTATATTAAGTGAGTCTGCTTTTCCTGGAACAAGCAATTGAATGTAGGGCCTCTGTCAACAGTATGTCAAGTGCTGACTTGCAAGTGCTTACTTGCACCTTGTTGCCAGTAAGGATGATGGGCATGTGTTAACATGTACATGTGTGCATTTAATATGTCCGATGTGATAATACATGTATAATGGATTTTCTCCCTTGAAGGGAAAGGGGGGGAATCATAATGAAAACCATGGCTCTTACCCCAGGATCCAGCCCTTAGTCATCATTCCTCAACTTTTGACACCAAACTGATATGAAGGGGTTGTTTTAGGCAGTTTAGCCAAAGGGAGCACCCCAGTGCAGGAAATCAGCCTTACCATATTACAAAATCCTGATGGCTCGGCATGAGGGAAGCCCAGGTACTT